GCAGTTATCACTGATGACATTTAGTGGTGGTTATATTTTACTCCATATTATTTGAAAATGTTAATGTTGATCATTTGATTCCGTTTCAGTAGGCTAAATATCATGTACCCACCATGAGATTTGTAAATTTTCGGTTTAGCCCCTTAAGACAGGATTTGACTCGATTGTGCCATGCCTTACATCAGCACGGCAAGAAAAGATTGGAAGACAGGGTATTAAATTAATTTTAACAGCAGTGAGACAGTTCAAAAGAAATAAATTAAAGTAAAGAATGGAAATTTGATAATGCCATAAAAACTAATCATCAAAAGGAATAATGAGAGCGAATGCAGCTGCTTTACTATGACCAGTTTTAAGTCTCCAACTATGGATTACGACTATTGAACATATTCTTAACAAGATTCCTGTCTCTAACGAGATCCATCAGATTAGTGATTGTTAACTTCGTAGATTAATTTTATATATTAATTTCTTGGCTCCTAGCTTTTTTAAAACCCAACTGTACACTGGGCTGTGCAACAAATTTAGGTAGACGGTGGTTACATATATATAATACAAGTACTCACCACCTCATCTTATAGATTCGTGTACAGTTATATATTGAAAGAAATGATTTTATGAATCGTAACAGCTTATCGATGCCTTTGACATTTGGTCATTGGAAAACAGTCTACCAAAATGATATATATTGGTGACATATCTATTGGTTAAACTACTAGTTAGCATATTTAATGGTTTGGTATATACTGAATGGTCGTCATAGAACTTTTTCAATTCTCCTGAGATATGTATTGCGACAATTATTAGAAAACATTTCAATACAATATATATATATATATATATATATATATATATATATATATATATATATTTACGGCTTGAATATGTTCTCTGTCATATATTGGTCATTCTTATGATAGGACGAGTCGGTGTAGACGATGATGTAACTTCCACGTAAGATCTTATAGATTAGGTAGTCACATCACGTCAATTCAATTTCAGGATTAGGTCTATTATTAGAACAGTACTAATAACGACGTAGACCTCAGTGATACAAATTCATATCATTTTGAATAGGTTTACCTTTTCTACTTTACATAAGTTGATGATATCTATATGACTCATTCTAGATGTATATTACAGACGAAATATGGTCAGTGCAATAATTCAGTATCAAATAAGTTATTTGAATATGATAATTACAGATCCAAATTTCAATATAATTGAGATAGATTGATTATTAGATAGTTTAATTGTAGAATTTTGATTGCCCTCAAATGCCCTGGTACGGCCGACAGTGCGGAGAGTCCGCTCGCACTCTCGAGATGCTCCAACACGGCCACGCGTATATAGCCTCTGCCACGGGAATCCTACTCACTTCCTTCTCGTGGCTCATGTGTTGTTTACGAAAATGAGAGAATGAAAAGCGAATGTCTGACGCTTTAACCGGATTCCAAACCAATGGTGCACATGGGCTTCAGTATCCTGAAGGAACGAATGGCGTATGAACCAATCGTTAGTCACCGGCTACCATGAGACTGTAACTCCTTACGTTGCCCCATTGCCTTGTGGGTCAGACCTTTAGATCGAATGCTCTGTGTGTGGCCCCTAAGTAAACCACCTGCTTCGGTTTGAGCACCCGGTCAGTATCACAGCCCTCACACAAATCAAATGAGATTTGTTTGGCGCGTATGAATTTGGTGCCTCCTTGTACCAATATCTATGTGTTAAAATAAATAATAAATAAAATATCAAATGTCAAAACAAATCTTCATTGTTATCAATGCATGTGGATAATTACGAACACAAGTTTAACTGAAATGTTCACAAATCATAAACAGAGACAATATTAGAAAATACCAGCAAATATTTTTAAAAAAAAGAAACTTACCACCCTCCCCCCCCCAAAAAAAACCCGTAAGTAATTAATAATACGCACTAATATTGACCAACCAACTATAAAAAATCATAATCAATTACAAATCATATCTAAATATTAAGTCATGGGATGAATACAATTAAAATCAATATGAGATAGTGGAGAAGATTTGTAGCTCAGGTGGATGATTTTGGTGGAGTTTTGTTCTCTGAGCTGGATGGTTTGGTCGTGGGGCTTTCATCGTTCTTCTGAACGACATCATCAGTACAAACTTCAGATAGAAGTGAAGTGTTCGAATTTCTCCATATGTGTTTCACAGCTTGTTCTGTGTACCTCGATGTTGATTGGTTCTTATTGACCTTCAATTTATCATTGTTTTCTTCTTTGTTTTGGTTGTGTCTCCCATTGGTTTGTGTATGCACATGCACAGATATAGAAACAAAAATCAAATTCGAACACTTCACTTCTATCTGAAGTTTGTACTGATGATGTCGTACAGAAGAACGATGAAAGCTCCACGACCAAACCATCCAGCTCAGAGAACAAAACTCCACTAAAATCAATATTCATATAATGAAAAAAATAATTGTTACTAACACCTAATGAAATTTTTCATGATTAACAAAACAATTTGTTTTATCACATGTAAAGAAATTCCAATGATGTTTATTTCTATTGGAAATTTGCAGTACATGTGATGTTGTTCAAAATGGCAATCACTATACTTATTGATCAAACTGTTCAGCTTAAACAAATAAAAACTGCACAGAAAAATAACAACTAATCGATATATTGATCAGTGAACTCATATAGAAATTTGTAGCTCAGTTGGATAGTTTAAATGTTGTTGAGTTCGATGACGTGAATGTAAGGAATTCATTGTCCTTTAGGATAATATGAATTAGCACTTACTTTATTGACTATTCACATAAGTTAAGCATTGATCATGTTATCTAGAATGACAATCAAAATTCTTTTTTTTTGAACACATAAATACTGGCACAAGAGAACATCGGTTACATATGCGCCACACAAATCGCATTTGATTTGTCCGGGTGCCCAAACCGAAGCAAGTGGTTTATTTAGGGGCCACACACAGAGCATTCGATCTAAAGGTCCGACCCACAAGGCAATGGGGCAACGTAAGGAGTTACAGTCTCATGGTAGCCGGTGACTAACGATTGGTTCATACGCCGGACATTCGCTTTTCATTCTCTTATTTTCGTAAACAACACATGAGCCACGATTAGGAAGTGAGTAGGATTCCCGTGGCAGAGGCTATATACGCGTGACCATGTGAGAGCATTTCGACAGGGTGAGCGAACTCTCCCTACTCTCGGCCATAACAGGGCATTTGGAGGTCATTTACATAGACAAAGCTGAATAATATAACGATTTTGTACTGTATTATATTTTTCGTGGTTAAACTGGATCATTTTATAGAATACATTTGATCTATTTTGTTGTTTCATCTTTCAGTTTGAATAAAATCGGTCGGAGTACTTCTGCTGGAAAGTATACTATCAGATTTGCAAACAATTAATCTTACGAATCATAGAATTACTTCTGTTGTAGCTAGGAATTTGATCTGTACCTTGTTGTGTTTTGATATATATGAGTCTCTATTTTCTCTAAATTTATTTTAGTGATCAATTCATTTTTAAAAAAAATTGGTAGTGTATTGTATGAATTTATATTTAGTATGAATTTCACATGTATAGACCATTGAATTTTCATAATTTACTTAACAAATATATATACACATAGAATGGTATCTTAGTAACCTAGTGGTTAAGTCGTCTCCAAGTGATCAAATGTTATCAGAATACACTTCTCAGAAGTGCTCATACTAGGACCGAACAGCTGTCCAATGTTTTCAATTTAACTAAAATTAGTAATGTAAACTGTGAATATGATTCACTTGGTGTTATTTTACTTGTATCATCTCGTTGATGTTTATAATTGTAATTGATCAATCTCTTGTTCACATGTGCATCTTGTGCAAATAGTCTCGATATAGCCTTAAGTCACAAACTTTTTAAGCAAAGATAGATAGTGGCTAGCAGTGAAATCCAGTTTGACGCGCGTTTCGTCCTAGTTGGAACTCGTCAGCTGGATATACCTGCAACTCGTCGTTAGATTACTGTCTAGGGACTGATAACACATGAATATGATAGAGACAATTCCTTTTATGATAAGTAAAAGATTGACAGTTTTAACGTCAAAACATTATGCTACAAAGATATCTAAATACTAATCCAAGTTACACTAATGTAATTTTTCTTTATTTCTATATATATAAGAAATATTAAGTTACTATCATGTATATACATGTTGTCTACGTCAAGTTTACTCTGATATTATTACAAATATCTTATATTATAGAATCATATGATTATAAACAATGAACATTGTATATTGATTGCCAAATTATTTATCAATCTAAATCTAAACTAATCTATTTATCAGTAGATAATAATCAACATTTTTTGATGAATAAAATGTCATATATATTGCTTGTTTATTTGTTTTTAAGAAAATAATAATTACTATGCATTATATACTGCTGTTCAATTTCACTCATAAATACCCTAGTACGACCGAGGGTGGGAAGAGTCATCGCTCCCACTCAAAATGCTCTCACATCCCCATACATATAAACCACTGTCAGAGAACTCCTACTCATTTCCTTCTCGTGGTGAGGGTGTTATTACGAAATTGAGGGGACGAAAAGCGAATGTCCAGCACTTTAATCGGAATAGTGGATATGCAGAATCCACCTAGAGGAGTTGGAAAATCCTAATTCCAAATCAGTGGTGCTTATGAGCTCCCGGATCCTGAAGGAACAAATGGTGTAGTCACCGGCTACCATGGGACCGCATTTTCTAAAGTTGCTCCATTGCCTTGGAGATTAGACCTCTGAATTAAATACTTGAGGAGTCGCTGCCTAAGAGAACCCAGCTGTTTCGGTTTGGACACCGAGGCAGTATCATGCACAAATTGAGTGACTTGTATGGCGCATGTGTATTCAGTATCCATTTGTACCAATATTTATGTGTTCAAATAAATGAATAATAAATTCTTTTACATCTACCAATTAAAACACTCTAAAACATTTTCAAATTTGGAAATAAATATATATTTTGTTGTATTCTAATGAGTAGAAAAGTTGTATTTCTGATGTTTCGTGACTTAATGTGAACTACTTCTTCAGAATAAATTTGGCCAGATACTTACATCAGAAATATACTTGTGATTAACTTACTATCCAATGCTCAATTGATTTGAAAATCTATCGAATTCAATCATGGCAATGATACCAATTTTCAAATATGGTTAAATTAATTCATGCCATGAATCAATATTATTGGAGAAAGTTAGTCTCTATCTCCCTCATTCACAGCCACATCTGACTAATTCTTGTACAAATGTTGTTTCATATTTTATTGGTATGTTGTGGTCTGTTTGATTAGTATATAAACTCAGAATGTTTGTAATATAACGATGCATATCTCAGAGGCTGCTACTTGCGTTCTGGACTAAATTGGCTGGGATGGACAGAAAAGCGGGACCAATCAGAACTCTAGGCTGCTCAAACGTATTTCACGCGTCCTTAATCCGATCGATAAGTCACTGTCCTCTAATCTGCAGTCACAGTTATAACATAAACTTTCATAATTACTAGCTGATGTCTTATATGCCAGACATTGAGATCTTTGAAGTGAATACATTTTATGTAAACTTTTATATCAGAATATTTAAAAAGAAAAATGTATTCAATTTCAAAGAAGGTTTTATGAATGTACATTTTGAATGAAAAGACTATTCTCACTTATTGTTAAGATTTTCTGTTAATCCAACATTTAATATGACTGATTTAGATGACCTGTTCTTATTCAAACTGTTCGGAGTCTGTTTTAGAAAGAAAAAAAAACAATATGAAACAATTAAAATGACAAATTCATATTTCAATGGTTGGGATCATGAGTCAAGTGAAGCGGTGGTTTTATCCACTTACAAAGTTAATTACTGTATTGAGTGTTTTGCCCGTTTATACTTTAGCTAATCATGTGTTGTGGGTAAACATATTAGCTTGACTGAATAGGAAGCTTCGGAAAACAAAATTTAAAAACCGTATTAGGTTCAATATTTAATCCAACAGTTTTAAATTAGACAGAACAATGAAAGTTTAATTATTTATGATAGAATGAAACTAGATATATCTGGGTCATTCATGATCGTCTGAAGAGTGAATTGAATTTTCATGGCTTTCCCTGAAAAGTTTGATTATCATATATATATACTCCTAGGGGAGTCAGAAAACCCTGATTTCAAATCAATGGTGCTCATGGGCTCCAAATGGCATATGAATCAATCTTTGGTCACCGGCTACCATAGGAATGCATCTCCTGACGTTACTCTACTGCCTTGTGGATCAAACCTTTAGGTCGAAGGTTGCGAGTGTGCGCTCCTAAGAAAACCACCTGCTTCGGTCTGGGCACCTGGGCAGTATCACAGCCAACATACACAAATCAAGTGACTTGTGTGCCGCATATGTATTCGGTGCCCCTTTGTACCAATATTTATTTATTCAAATAAATAAATAAAGAGGTCACAAAAAGTATTGGAAATTCATGCATGATTCGTGTATATTCAAATTATATAGAAATCATTTGATTACAAAACATTCACGTCAGGTAATTAATGAAATTATTCAATATGTTCAATAGATACTAACAAAGATGATCTATTTCAATAAATAATATAATCAAACAAAATATAATTATAATAGTTGAGATTATAAGTCAATTGAAGCTAGATCACCATGGAAAATCTGAAAGTATTGAATGATCAATTCGTCCTATATTCTGAGACTCCTCAACAGTGCTCATCCACAATCTTATTTCATGAGATTAGAACCCAGAATCTATCAGTCTCACGCGTGAACATTTAATCTCTAAAGCATTTAAGTCTACCAGCATTCAACAATGTTAATCTATATTAATCAAAATTCATGAAATACTTACAGTTTTTCAAGTTCTTTATTTAATTCTTCTTCTGTATAATTTGGATTAATGATTATTGGATTTGATAAGATAGAATTAATTTGTTGTATAGTTTGTTTATATTCTTGATAATCATTCATATTATCATTATTATTATGATCATGATATAAATCTCTTTAAAACAAAATGATTATATTTTTTAATTGATCATATTAACTTACTCATAATTAGGTAGACTTTTAATTAATTTTAATGATGTCATAAGTTGATCATTAATTTGTTGATGATTATCTAATACATCTAAATGATCATCTTTATCATTAGATAATTGATTATTATTATATTGATTTATAGATTTTTCATTTGATGATTGCTTATTATGTAATCTATTAATTAATGCTATAATATAATAATAATAATAATCATTCATTGTTACTATGCTATAAATGAACTTACATTTTCGTGTTATTTTTCTATTATTTTTTTTATTTTTTTGTAATTCATTATTATTTATTGAATAATTAAATTGATATTTTGAATGAATGATTTGTTCATTGGGTTCCTTTTTTGATTGATTGATTTTACTTTTAAATTTGATAATTGATTTAATTATTGAATGCATATAAAAAATATTTTAAAAATAATGAAAAATAAATAAATGATTAAACAATATGAAACTTTGCTTAGTTACTAATCTGTTTATATCACTAACACCACCACCAACACCAACAACAACAATAAAAAATTTCATTTAAATTGGTAAATGTTATAACATAAAGCCTGGTTAGTGATCATGTGATTTATTTACCAATCAAAATACGACTTATTCAATTTGAATACTGTGTTAAACCAATGATGTTCGATGGGTATGAGTAGTAGATGAGTAATAGATGTGTACTAAAATCAATCATCTGTTTGCTTAGTTATGAATGAACAAGATGTAAGATGGTTGAATGAAGTGAGCAGGTAGCTTGAAATATAAATTTTGCTCTACCTCCAACACGCCAATCGGAATGATATGCAGTATAGAAAGTGCAGATAATTCATATATCACTGGAACAATTTTCCGTTAGTGTCATGGTCGAAAAACGTTGTAATTCAGCCATAAATTCCACAACTAACATCTTTTAAGACTGCAACCTATAAGTCGCTAAATAATTCATGTTGATTGACTTGTATTCTCCGTAACAATAGTTACTTAAGTAAGTATAAATATGTTTGTTGATATAACCTTAACTTTTTAATTTATTGTTATGGCTTAAATTGACGTTGTTCTTATCATTACTGATTGATTTCTTTACTACATATACAAATATCAGCAGCTTCAAACAGTGTATCAAAACACCATAGTTCAATACATGATGTAATACATACGAATGTTCAGAAGTATACTGTGCATTATCCAGTGAATAATGCGTCGAGGTTTGAAATGAACGATATTCGATTTCAATCTCAATGTGAACAATAACACTGAAATACAGAACAACTGACTTATCGAGTCTCAAATCTGACGGAGCAGGCATCCTGGATACTATTATTAGCCATTATCCATCTTTAGTATGACCTTTTGACGAGAAAATGGTGGGAAGAGGCAAGAAAAACAATTATTGATATGTATGATGTGTTTTCTCGTTCACAAATAATGAGGTAAAAGTTTGTGATGAATGTCTTTAGCATTATGATATTGATGATGGAAATAATGAAGGGAACGGTCAAGTGGATCAAAGTTTTTTAAGGACAGCGTCTAATGTGCTCTTATTAACTACGAGGTAGTGAATTAACTTAATGAAGATTTCTAATACTTTACTTAGTCGTCATAATGAAATACAATCTCAGGGTCAATCAAACGCTTTGCTTTAACAGTGATCTTTATTCTCATGTTAACATGAAAGCTGTTTAAACAAGAAATTACACAGCAAATCACAAAGATGAGATCAAGTTTGTTTAAACTTTATCACGTGGAAAATTTCATTCTCGTAGTTCATGTACATTTCGTAATGCCAAATGTCTTAAATGTGGTAAGATAGAACACATTCAGTCAGTATGCAAAGGTACTGTTCATTTTGCTTCAAGTAGTTATAGATCTTGTTATTTAGATCCCAATAATTTGGCTGTTCCTAATGACCATTTATCTTTGTCAACCATTTCGAAAGGTAATGCTCATATTCAAAAGCGATTATATACATCGCTTGGTTCATGTGATGACTTTATTGTGGACACAATCAGTCAAGAACTTGAAATCTTTAGATCCTAATGTTGTGTAACGACCCACTGAAGTTTCAATATTGGGGATTACTGGACACAGACTGCCCATACGAGGATGTTGTGAATTGCTAATAAGAGATGAACTACACCCAAAAATCTTGAGACATATTGCACAACATATCGCGGCTCCACTGACTGTGATATTCAATATGTCACTTGACCAAGGTGTGTTATCTATGGACTGGAAGGACACAATCGTCACTCCCATACATAAGACAGGACCAAGACAACTTCCATCGAACTACAGACCTGTAAGCCTTATCAGTGTTGTAGTTAAAATATTGGAAAGAATAGTCAAACGGACCAAAATGGCATTTATGGAAAACCAATAACTTGCTAAACATAGAAAAACATGGTTTTAGAAAGGGTCTTTCTTGTACAACGAGCCTCCTTATAGCAAGGGAATTTTGGATAAAGGTGTTAGACAACGGAAACTCAGTGGATGATATCTACATAAACTTCAGTAAAGCTTTCGACAAGGTGCTAACTAATAGACTGTTATTGAAGTTGGAAAACCTTGGTATTGCTGAACCTCTTTTAAAATGGCTAAAGGATTTACTAGTGGGTCGTAGACAGAAAGTAATCATAAACTAGAAGTGCTCCATCTAGAGACAAGTACTTAGTGGAGTACCTCAAAGTTCCATCCTAAGCCCGTTACTTTTTATACTGTGCAAATGAACTCCCAAGTATAGTACAGTCCCCAATGTTATTATTACTCTGACGATGTAAAAATCGGGCGAGTAATAACTGGAGACAAAGATGCATGTGCTCTTCAGGCAGAATTAAATGATATGAATAACAAGTCTAAAGAGTGGCTGATGCCTATCAATGAGGCAAAGTGTATCTACATGCACTTGGGGATACAAAGGTTAATACGTACAACATAGGGGATGTGTCAATACCAGTAGTCCGGTCTCATAAGGATCTAGGGGTAACAGTGAGTAATGATCACAAGACGACGTCCCATTGCCGAGAGGTCGTAGTCAAGGGGTTTCGAACCCTCTGGGCTTTAAAACGGACATTCACTAAGTTAGATACTACCATGTCCACCAGAGTATACACATCCTTAGTGAGAACTAAGCTTGAGAACTGCGTTCAGCCTGCAAGCCCCTGTCTAAAAGGTGACTCGGATATCCTAGAAATAGTACAGAGGGCGGCTACCCGTGCAATTCCAGAACTTTGGGGTTTACCATACAAAGAGCACCTTGAAAAGCTGAACCTCTTTACTCTGTCCTATCGCAGATCAAGGGGAGATCTAATTTTGATGTACAGAATACTGAGAACTGATTTTGGACTTAACATATGCTCTCTTTTTCTTCCCACTAGATCGAGACATCTCAGAGGACATAGCAGGCGAGTAGAAAAGACGAGAAAGAAGAAAATACCCGTGGCATACAGGTTTTCATACCGAGTCATCAATACTTGGAACCTGCTGCCCAAAGCAGTGGTGTCCACACATTCAACTGAATCTTTCAAGAGAAGACTGGACACTCACAGAAGCATATTAGAAAAGGGATAACAGGCGGTAGGCCTTCTGTCCTTTCTACACAAATCCGAATTTGAATTTAAAATCTGAATATGAATCTGAGATGATAATTCTTCATACATACCTTAAGGAATTCGAAAAGGCTTAAAGTGGAGTTGTCTTTTCTAGTTTCTAAAGAAATTTCTGATGCTTAACTTAAAGATTTGATAGCTACTTGTGTTCAGTGCAGTGAAGGTATGAAAATTAAGCCTATAAAACTTCAATTACAGGGTAATCCAGTCTTTCTTAAAAGACGAATAATTCCTTATGGTCTTCGAGAAGCAGTACGTAAGACATTAAACGACTTCTGTGCGAAAGGCATAATTGAACCAATTCAGTCTTCAGCATGGGGTACTCCTATCGTCACGCCACTGAAGTCGGACGGCAAGACCCTAGAATTTGTGGTGACTATAGATTAACATTGAATTCCCGTTTGTTGAAGCAAACGTACACGACGGTAGAAGCTGAAGATATTTTAAATCGACTTCATGGTTCTAAAGTGTTCTCGAAAGTTGACCTAAAAGATGCTTATCTTCAAATTCCTTTAGATGAATCTTCATCTATTTTGACGACAATTAACACTCGTTTTGGTCTGTTCAAATACAATTTCCTTCCATTTGGTCGAAGTTGTTCTCCGTCCATATATTAGGAAGTTATGAATAAAGTAGTTAGTGATCTTGAAGGTGTTGAAGTTTATTAAAATGGTCTCATTGTTCATGGTTCTGATAAGGTAGTTTACGACCAGAGACTTATTGCTTTATTGCGTCGTTTAACTGAGAGTGCTCATTTTTGTATCTAGTTTCGAATGTCTTGGATACCTAGTTGATGGTAATGGTTTTAGACCAGATATGAAACGACTAGCTCCACTGACAAATGCACCGTCTCCAAAAATCTTACGGAATTACGTCCACTAGTGGGAGCTCTTCAATACTATTCCCGTTTTACTCCTAATTATTCTTGTCGTGCAAATTGTTTATTTAATATTTTCACATCCAATCATTCAAATGGAGTGAAGAACAAGAGTCATGCTTACGAAGTCTACTAAAGTTTCTTCAAAGTGATGCTGTTCTTCGAACGTACTCCCCTAATGTACATTCTGTGCTTATTACTGATGCATCACCTGTGGGAATTAGTGCAGTTTTGGAACAGGAAGGTAGACCAGTTTTTTGTGTTTCACACAAACTTACTGTTACTGGAAAAAGTTATTCACAAACTCAGCGAGAAGCATTAGCTTTGTTTTGGGCTCTTAAAAGACTTCATAAATATTTATTCGGAAAGAAACTCACCAGTGTTACGGATCATGAAGCTTTAAAGTTTATTTATCACCCTAAAAAGTCCTTGGCATGTTCCTAAGCTGCTGTGGTTCAACAATGGAGTATTGTTTTGAGTACATGTGACTATACGGTTCAGCACAAGAGTGCTAGACAAATTCAACATGCTGACTACATTTCTCGACAGTCATTACAAGATAGACCTATTGATACTTCGGATTGTTTTTTAGTGCAACCTTTACCAATGAGACGTTCAGATCTCATTAGAGAAACTCGCAGATATTTTGGATGTATACTCAGTGCTATACGAAAAGGCTGGACTGTTAATTTGAAACGTAGATTTCCTATCTATTATTCAAAGCGGGATGAGCTATCTACTACTCCTGATGGTATTCTGTGTTTAAATGATCGTGCTGTCATTTCTCCTTCATTGCGTAAATCTGTTCTTGAAGATCTTCGTAGTGGTTATTTAGGTGTTGAGAAAATTAAGTCATTGGCAAGGCTCACATGTTGGTGGCCAGAAATAAATGCAGATATATGTTGTACAGCAAACAATTTTGCGAAATGTCATCAGCTGAAAAATCATCATGCGAAGTGAACTCCATGACCAGTAACGTCTGAGGCCTGGCAGAGAATTCATGCAGACTATTGTGGTCTGTTTCTTGGCAAATACTAT